ATGATTCTGAGACTGTGTTAATTAAAGTTACTGTACCTAGACCATTGTACATTTAGAATAATTTAATTAAAGATACTGATGAACATTGTGAGTAAATATTAAAATTATTCTAGACCTTTTATTCTATTATAGTACGTCATGCTGAGTATGTGTACAATATTACTATACATGTAATGCAGTTAAAATGTAAACAGGAAAACAAATGGATTTGTCTGTACTTCACTGGGTCACTGACGGTTGAAGTGCAGGCGCCATTCGTACGCGATTCCGAGTCATTGAGCAAAATTCATTTTTTCCAGTTCCCCCATAGGCACTATAATATCCCATCCCATACGGAATGGCTGATAGTAAACCCATAAATTACGTTAATTTGTCTGACCAGTAATAGGGGCCCGTCTAATAGTATTTGCATTTAATATTGTTAAGATTGTCACACGTCCTTATCGCCCTCACGCTATCGCTTTTTTACGGGTTTCCAATACACTAGTGAAGAAGCGAATAGATAATCAAATAATAATATTAACAACGAAAAAAAAAAAAACAAGATCCGGCCAGGGTCCCAATTACAGTAATCACAAAGTTCACACTCTTGTTAATTTCTAAAAGGTTGTACTTATAGGAATTGAATATATCTTTCATTTTGAACTACACTGGTGTGAAAAGAAAATGACTTTCTTATTTGTATGCGCATTGAATATTTTTATAATTGTGTTCAAAATAATTTTATTTTTGTATTTGTAAAAAACCGAATTTTTTGGGGTCAAGTTTATCAGCAATATCAGAGTTTAAGGAGTGCCTTTAATAACATCACATAATATGATTTTAAGGTGTTTTTTTTGTGATAAAATTGAAATTATTTTGTTTAAAAAATGTATGCCATGTATATTCCAGCATAGAAAATAAGAAATAAGAAATAATTACTTTTGTAACTTATCAAAACGATAATATTTAACATTTATTTCAGAGTAATTATTCATAATGAATGTAATTACTAATTATACATATTTAAAATGGCTTCTCTTATTCGTGCACCTATGCTAATTAAGACTACATAATTGTTTTGTTTTAACATAGTTAATTAGAAGCGTTGAAATAATGTTAATCGTATCTAAATAATACGAAATGAATGCACTCATGTAAATTGCAAGCGCATAATAATTATTTATTCCTTTTCACTATAATTTTTTGTGAATTCTTAATGTATTGTACGGGACAACTGAACAAACAAAACATACAACCTTAAGTTGGATTAAGTCTCATACAACTTAATAAACAAAAACAAATCTTTGAAATTGTATGTCTTTAATAAACTGTGAAAATAATGCCTATTAATTTTTTTTTTGTATTGGTTGATGATTTCGTAATACTTAATAACAATATGTATAATGTATATTCATGTGCGAAAGACAAGTTCTCTGACAAAATATTCACATCAATATCAAAATGATTGTTATTAATATTTTTTATAGACACAGTTGTCATCTACCTACATTTTAATATTAATTGTTTGTTTTGCAGTCTAATAATTTGTAAACAATTATTATGAGCTGATAATGTACATAACACATGGGCATACATTTTATTTTAGTCAACTGTACAGTTTTAATTTATTCTAATTTTAGTACCTTTCATCATTTTTTGTTTGGAGATATGTTTTGTGTTTTTAATAAAATGAACATTTAACTGATCTAAAAGACGCGTGTGTATAAATTATGCAGAATACAATTTACTAGTAAAGTTGCACCTTGCTCATGTAGAATACAACTATTTCAAAGATTTAGGTTTAATGACCTTGTTCAAAATTGTATTTTAAATAATATATTTTATATATATAGTTTATTTTAATTTCAAATATTCTATCGATTAATCTTTATTAAACATTTGGTTATATTTGTTGAAATATAGTAAGATTTATCATATTTAAGGGTTCACTATGGAATATTATTAACTATTATTTATTATACTCAGTAATACATTGTATTCCGTGGATTCAGAGAGTGTCAATAAATGAAATATAATATATTTTATATTAAAAAATCTACAAGTAGGTCTTTAATTTCTATTCTAATCTATAGATGTATATTTTTAATTTGAATTGACTGATTTTTTTTTTGTTATTAAGATTAGAATTATTTATAATGTTTATATTAAAGTGGGATATCTAAAACATTTTTACAAAATGTCTTGAAACTATGTATTTGATATTATTATTATTTAAGTATTTAAAAGTTTTAAAAATAGAATATCACACTCAATCGATATTATAATTCCAGTTATATTTCGTTGATTTGACTAAAAAACTATATGTTTACTAAAATAATTTTAATGTATTCATTATTATTGATAACACGTCTCACATTCTCTTTTATATTTATGTACAAATATATAAATAATTTTAAATCAAGGTAATACTTGAATAAACTTATGAATTACATTTAAATATGTTTATACCTACTGTTAAATTGAATTTCAATTTTAAATTCGTATGTTTTTATTTTATTTTATTAATGAGATATTAGGTAAAATGAAATAAAATCGTATACTGAAAGTCTAATGATATTATGTTTGAAATTAATGTTTTAACTTTAAAGTACAATAGATGGATTAAATTTCAGACCCAAAAACTTACTATTTTGAATTACTATTTTTTTGAAAAAAAAAAAAAAAAATACGGTTAAGTTAATATTGGTACCTATTGTAAGTTAAATTATAATTAATATACATAAGCTATTTATTAATTCATGTATCTGTACTCTGTACTCACTACTCTACATATATATATATATATATGAATTAGGAACTAAAACAGTATTTATAATAACTAGAACTCCTAGGTAAACAGTAATAACTAATTATAATAAAAGGATAAGGTATAGCTACAAATAATACAGCAATTTGATGTTGTTCAATGTCAAACTTTTGTTAAGATACGAAATCTTATTCATAAATACAATTAATTAACAATATATAATAATATGGTATGGATCATTATATAGTAATTATATTATATGGTATAGTTATTGGTTTTAAGTATACAATATTAATTATGTACTTATAATTAATATTCTAATAATAGTACAACATTTAAAATTTAAATGTATGCGAATATCACTCAATATAAGCTTGATCATGATAAACAAACGCTATTTTAACAAATAAATTATTCGCAGCTTTCAATATTGATATAATATTTTCTTGAATTGATGTTTAAATAAATGTATATACAAATAGTGTTGTTCAGTTTTTAGTTTTTAGTTTGTATTCTTTTGTTTATTTAAAATAAAGTAATATCGGTATGGTGTGATTGGAAATATTACAAAAAAAAAAACGTATAAACGTAAACTTATCATACGTAGAAAATCGTTAAGAGAAAGTATCACATTTAAAATTATGTAATATTGTAATTGTAAATATAGTGTAACGATAACTGTTGTGTAAGTTTTTACAAATCCTGAAAATAAATAATTGAGAACATTGTATGCTGCATTATATTATACGTTTGTCTATTTTAAATAAAATATTTGGTTATTTGTCTAATCGCTTTACAAAATAAGTAGTTAAGGATTTAAAAAATGCATAGTTTATTCAGTGATTTCCTAAAAGTTTTTGTATCCGCTGTCATACACAGTAATATGATCGTTTTATAGCTTTATCCACGGTTAAGATTATTTGAGGCTTAAATAATATAAGTCCGTTGGTTTAATGAAGTCATTTACATAATTTATTATTTGAAAACCATTTTGAAAAACGAAAAGATTCAATGTCATAAGTCATAACACTGTGTATATTTTTCAGTGTGATAATCGGTATTTTTTAATCCTTGGATTTTCATACATTTAAACGGATTTAAATGGTCTAAACAAATATGAAAACATCATTATCACAATTTATTATTTAATAAACTATTTATAAAGCTTATCTTTAACTTTTATTTTTAGTTATTTTAATAAGAATTAATAATAATAACCTAAGAATGAATTCAGAAATCAAAAATCAAAATATGACTTATTATTGATTTACTTATAATATTGAAACGGTGTTTAAAAAAAAAACTTGTTTCGCAATATTAATGATAATTGATTATTACTAACTAAAAATGTTTGAAAAAAATTAATTTTTAATGAAAACAAAGTTAAAAAATATTGTTTACAATTTAGTTATGTTTAGTATATAATATTGGTACTCACAGTAAATTAATATAATCATTTTATCAGCTTTCTCTGACTTTAAATGAAAAATCCTTCGAGTAAAATTTTTAAAACACGGCTTTATGTAGGTGTGAATAAACTTAAACTAATCCAGTATATAGGTACTGCATGATACAATTGCACCTCGCTCATTTAGTATAGTTGCTATCACATTGCAAGCATTGTTTGCGGTGATAATAAGACACGTTTTTTTTTTTTTTTTTTGTCACGGTTGTATTATAGTTTATAGTCGTTTCTAGGTCATTAGAATATTTGGACCTCAAAATTGATAATTCGCCGATTTTATTTTTTGACTAATGGAAATAGGGCTTTAAAAATGTACTACAGTAATTAACTTATGATATTAAAATATGTTTTCCTTATTTCAAAGGTTTTTCAAAGGTATTCTTAAGTCGTTTTTTTTTATTGAAATAAATTATTAATTAGTTACAGCTCACTTCACCAAGTAATTAAAAGTGATTTATTAATTAATCATTGTATTATAATACGGAATGTTGTTTTCATTCGTTAAGTAAACTTCTTAGGTATGTATTATATACAAAATTAAAAATTGACGAAAATATATTTTTAATATTATATATAATTATGTTATTTATCTTAAGCTATTATACTTAAATCAATTAAATTTAAAAAAAATAAAACTATAATTATCATGACTTAGGTAGTGAAATTATAGATGGTACATTTAACTACCAACTAAGTTTATGGCAAAAGAGATGATATTGATATAAGTTATTAACTATTATGATGATAATTATGATTATGAATTTAAAGTATATAAAGATTTCTTACTGGTAATAGCAACGTCTTTAGGCATCATCATACTCACGAGTAATATATATATTAACCTAAAAATAATAATAAAATTAGTTTAATGTAGTATACTGTATTTATTATATATTTATTGTATATTATTAGTGTTAAAGTCTAGAAGCCGAAAGAACTATAACATTATTACTAAATCTAAATCACTTTTATACTTTTATTTATATTATTGTATGTATTAACGAGAGTTCTAAAAATTATCCTAATTAATATATTAAGACGATTTTAAATTGAAAACACGTTCATTCACATAATGCATTTATTTTAATAAGCCTGACCCAATATTTTTGTATACGTACAGAGTATATAGTATTTTAGTTTTGATGAGATTTGGATAGATGTATGAATAATTGTATTAAATAACACTATTAAAATCCACAGTCAATAATTTTTTTTTTGCCATAAAAAATAAAGTTAATTAACTAAACACTAATTAGATATTAATCACTATTTTCAATATTAGTTTTAGTTAGTGTGTTTAGTTTGTTATTTAATATTCATAATTTATTATTATACAGTTTGAAATACCTACTTTAAAAATACACACCAGAATACCAGTTTATTGACGACTTATAATTAAAATAAAGTAAAAGTCTGCATTAGGTAATTCCACAATAAACACGGTTTAGTATGAATTGAATATTGACGATATATATATTTTCTAAGTGTTAATGGGTCAATAAAATAGATGTTAGATGCAGTTGACCAACTGTATAAAGTTTAATATAATGGCTTTAGTAAATATAAAAGCAACAAGTAAAACATGTGTAGACAATTATTCACTAGGTATGTAATAGTTATTATTTGAACAATGTCATACTTATCACATTGAATTATTAAACTTAATTTGTCCAAGTGCTTCACAAATGACATATATGATGTGTGTAATAATAATTTTAAAAAATCGTTAGTATTTAATACTATGCCAGCTTAGAGTTTAGAGCTCCAGCTACTATTTTATACTAGGCAGGAAATTAATAATAATGTAGGTATATTTTGGGTTGATGCTATTACGGATCATGGAAGTTTTATAGTTAGTTTAGTTTAGATTTTATTATTTATATACATTTTAACAAGTTGAGAAAAATGTGGGTTCTAACATGATTTTAGATTTTTCAGATACGTAAGACTCGTAAGAGTATTTTAGTTTAATAAAAGCAATTAAAAAATTAGAGGTAGCACGTGTTTTTACTTTAAAATCGAATGTATTTCAAGTGTTTATATGTGCAACACTTTCTATTACTTTATGAACTTTGATCGCCTAGAAATGTTGAGTAATGTGAGAATTAGAATACGATTAATTTTGGATTTTTTTCCATACACAATACATCGAATGAATTCAATAATTGTGCATATTATATTAAACTTCACTTTTCATTAGACTACACATTGAATTCAGAGTAGATATGCGCATGAATGGCGAAAATGTATTAACTTTGACGACGGGTGACATAATTTTTAGAATCTATCCTTTTTCATGAATGGCAATTATGAGTAAGTGGAGAAGCATGAATTACTTAAAGTTAACCGACCGAGATGATGTGGCTGTTTTAGTGACTCGATTTGTGGGTACAAAAACACTTCTCACAGCGAAGGCGGCTATATTGTCATCAATGAACGATAGATTATGATGTTTAATCGGATTTAACAGTATTATGACCACGTGGTTTATGGTTACCTATCCTCAAGGACTAGCAGGAAATAAAAATAAAACCTAAACATATCTGCTTGAGTTAACAATGCAATTTAATTGAGTATCCGGTATCCGATATAAACCAGGAAGCGTATCAAATCGAAACCGTAAAAATCATAAAATGGTCACTTTCAGAATTATAATAGGAAAGCACAAGTGTACTAGGATTATGGATAAGTATATAGTTCATAAACAAGCACCCTTAGTCACAATTATTATTTCAATAACACACGGTCCTAACCAATCACAACATCAGAATCAGCCTGACGACTTGCATATAAAACTGGTACATATTATAATACACACCTGTGTTAGCGGTTGATATTATTAAACTATTCGAAATTGCACCTGATCATACAATGCTTTTTCAAAACTTTCGTGAATCATCCAGATTAGTCGATGCCGCTAGTCTTATACAAGTGCGACTATTTCATACAAATATGTCTGGTTTGTCACACACGTTGGTACATTCAAAGCCGGTCATCAAGTATATTAACCACACGATCGTCATTAAAACAGTAGGTATTCAAACCAGAGATATCGCGAGTATTATAATTCGGCGGGGGCTTAAGACTCAATGCTAACCTACAAAATATGGAAAAAAAATAAAGTAAGAAAATATCAAAAACAACAACTACTAGGTACCTATTAGGAGTGAAAAATGTTCTTTTATTTGTGGGATCGAGAATAATATAAAAAATAACATAAGATTATAAAAGTTAGGGATGAGAATTTGTAGAATCAAAGTTTTCAAAGGCGAAGGTCTTTTGAAGATAGGACAAATAGAGATGGTTAACTCGAGTGATAAATAAATTCTTAAGAACATTTTCGTTTTCGATTTCTTTTCATTTTTGTTTTGTTATAACGATTAAAAATCGGATGACATATAAGCACCTGCTTGGTGCTCTAAATAAAATAAATCTATAAAAGTTTTTCAGCGCATTATATTTATTTTCTCTCTTTGACACACACGCAACATATCAATGTTGTTAGCTCTAATATTTGACTAGTGAATTGACTTATTATACAATAAGTAAGAACATTATTTAAATCCTTTCATAAGGCCGTAAAGGCATTTCAATTTTATAGCAAATTTTGAAAATTGTACAACTGTAAAATATCACAAATTTACATCGTATTATACCTCGCTTATTAGAATAATATATGAACAAAATAAAATATTAATAAAATGGACGATTTAGATTTTAAATGATTGATTTAACTCACGATACGTGTTGTAAATGTGTACAGAGAACCTGCGATGGATAGATACCTGCTAACCTGCGTGATGAATAAATTTAAATATATATATATATATATTAGGAAATAGGTATACTTATGTAATATAAATTATGATGAGTAAAGATAACTTTACTGTTCATACTGTAAACCAATGTAGGTAGGTACTCGCCTACATTTGAAATTGAAATACGAAACTGTTATGGTTATAATATTTTTTCTACTCCGACAGGAAAAATATTCTGGATAGAGAATGTTACTGTTTTTCATTTATTTATTGAATTTGAATTCTTTATGTTTCGTTTTAGAATTTGTTTTTATTTGCTTGCGAAACGTACACCATTAAAGTATAATATTATGACAGATGTCGAAACCTTAAATTTTAAAGGTAAAAAAAGATTTTTTTTACTAAATCCAGATGCTGAAAATTAATTTTTGACAGACTTCATGACTTCAAAGACGTATTCAATTACGTTTGACGTTAACAAAATATATTATGTTCTAATTTTAAGACTGAAAAAAATGTATACTTGAAGATTATTAGTTTTATTTAATTGTTAAAATAATACTATTAAGTGAATCGATAAAATTACCGTACTAAGAGTGTTATAATAATTATGTCTTGCAGCAGATTATAACAACTTGTTGGATTTCTCAGTCATTCGGCATTTTGAAAATCTGTTAAGTCGTTGTCGCAAGATACCTACAAAAGTCTCAATAACAAGATAAAAATTATCACCTCAAAAGGTCCAACTCTTCCTCTCATTCAGATCTGGAAATCTATCGTATTATTAAAAGTTGTGACGTTGTGTAACATTATTGGATGTATTGTAAATTGTTATAAACAGCTGGCAAATGCAGTTATTAAAGATAACGAATGAAATAATGTGATTTTTTTCGTGAGCACCTACGAAATTATTTGAACTGAGTTATTATTATACCTACCTAACCAGGCTAAGGGCTAACCACATTTCTAACACATCTGTTCAATTAGTTTGTCTGTTTTGTGGTTTACCCAAATCAGTGGTACGTATCATTTTAATTAATTTGTTTGGACCTTCTGCGAGGCCGTTTCAATTAAACAAATTGATAATATGAAATTACTATTGAATAGTATAGTGAATTTTTCGGCTGTAATATGATAAAAGAACGTATAAATTACAAATTACATTTATTGTACCGATAAATACATTAAAATATTAAAAGTTTAACCGCAGTGGTAGTTGTTTTTTCTTCTGTGATTTTACGGTAAAAAGTTGTACCTACTTAAAAAGTTTCATTCTTTAATTTTTTTATTGCCCGAAACGAACGATTGGCACTTTAAAAATGTAATTTACTGATTTTATTTCAATAGTTTCTTTAAGCATATGGAAATACTACCGTTAAACAAATGTGAAAAAAATCTCTACAAACGTGGGTTTTTTTTATTAAGCTCCTCAACGTTTTTCGATTGCGATTTATCAATGCTTTCAAACGTAATAATATATCGACATACCGATATCATGTATATCCTAGAGGTGAGTAAAGTGAATTAAGTTCCCAACGGTTTGTGTTCCGTTACGTTGGTTTTTTTTTTATCTTTATACAACTAATTTTTTTTGTGATTTATCTTCAATAGATAAGTGGAATTTATCGAACAAAAAAAGTAGTTAAATTTAACCAGGTAAGTTAAATGAGGTGAATTGGTGAATTTTTATAGGCGTAGTTTTTTATTATAATTTTAAAACTATGTATGATATTAGGTATAATATATTTTCAAAGGCCCACCTCCTCAAAATGTTTATTAAATATGCACCTTTATTGATAATTTGTATTAACATTTTTATATGTTGTATGATATTATGATATATTTTTAAATACTTACCTTTTCAAAATATTTATTAAAGGTGTTGTATATTTGAGTGTTTTTCTCATTTTTAATACAAATTTCTTAGTAAGAATACTTTATTACTACATTTATAAATATTGTAATGTATGTAATTTACCGAGCACAAATCTCTAATCTCCAAGAGAAACGTTCAAATAATAAATATATTTTGATTCAAAAATTAAATGAAGATAATTTAATTCAGACATTTTTATTGTATATATTTTTCTCAACTTTAAATTTAATGATTTCGAAATAATTAGTTTTTTAAACAAAGTTTTTCTATAAATTAATTTATAACAAGATGGTTATAGTTAGTGAATTCAGTAGGTACGTTGACAAAGATGAATTGTACAAATGTTTGTGTTTGAAAGTTTTGATACCACGAAGAAATAATTTAAATAAAAGGTAAAAAATGCTATACAAATTATAAGACTATACATTGTACCAAAAAGACCTAGCAAATGTAAAATGAAAATAAAAATTATGTAAGTTTGACCATTGATTAAGTATAGGTACATAACATTTAATCAATAGTAAAATGAATAATAAAAAAAATATTGCAATTATATGGATAACAAATAATTTACTTATGTCTAAAAATTCTCAAAAAGAATATTTTGTTAAAAGATATTAAAATTTAATTTCACTGTAAAAAAAATGATATTTTAAAAATTGTAAAAATGAAATACATAATTTAAATATTTATTAATATATTTTTACCACCAAAAGTTTTCTGTAAAGCAGATTTATTAATTGGCTGTATTGAATTTTCCCAAAATTTTTTTGAAAAGTTCATAATATTTATTTTCAGTATCAAAAATAAAAATAAAAATTCGAGTGTTCATAAATTATACATAAAAAAAAATGTAAAATAATG